CCTCTTATCCTCCAAATTCTTCTGGCATTCCCAGTATTTTTCATTCTTCCCATTCCCTTCTGATGCACCCAATTCTTCTCTTTCTCCTCCCTCCTACCTCCCTCTCCTTTTAACCCCCGGCCTCAGCCTACCTATCTAGTTCATTTTCTTTCTTTTTTTTTAGTGTAGAAACTGGATCTAGATTGTTCTCTCAGAATCCCAGACTAGACCTAGAAAAACCAGGCGAACATGGAATGAGGCTGGGTAACATCCATCTTTCTATTCCTGCCTCTGAGCCTTTTGTCTTGTTTTCTTGGGCCAGTTCCACTAGGAATTGTTGCAAACTCTACAGCAGATACATGGCTTAGATGAAATAGCATCTTTTAAAAATGAAAGCTGGTTGGCCACATCTATTAGGGGACAACTTCTCCTTAGAACCAGAAAAATAACTTTATATTTTTTGCTTTTCAAGCCAGCTCAGTATAAGTAGACACTTATCTTTTTGTTTTCACCTTCAAATTCAGGTGATAACTGGATTTAACTGATGACAAAAAGACATAGGAAAAATGGCAAAACAAAGGAAGATGGGGATAGAAATCAGTGACAATTATTTAATGTATCATAAGATAGATATAAGTTTAGTTAATAAAAAAAAGCTTGCTTTTCATTAAAAGGGAGTGATCTGCTGGTTTAACTCTAAGTTGAACTATATACATTTGCAATATTCACCCATTTTTGACCTATAAAAATGGGGATTTCATGTGGCTCATTGTAATCAGTAAAATTGTGATTTTGTCTAGATAGGTTGTGAGTATCTTTCAAGTCCTGGAGGGCCCACAGGACTTGAAACCTGGCTCCTATATTGAATCCAATAAGACTCCACAGAATTGGGCTCTTTCTTTGCCTTTACTGCAGTGATAGAGTTCACGTGAAGGTGACAATTATAGGTTAACAGCTTGGCCTTGATTGATCTCCCTGAGTATTCAAATTGCAGCAGGAGAATCACAACTATAACCCAAAGATGCACAACTCAAACAGCTGTGCTTTCAGGAATTACTGTGAAAGTGGAGATGGTATCTCATGGGAACATATGTTGAAGCTGAAGTCAACTGTAAGTATTATTTTATACAAACCCTTCATTTTACAAATGAGAAAACAGAAATTTGGATACATTAGGAGCATCATCAGCACCAGATCCTCATATGGTGACTGATCAGACCAGTTTTCTTGTATAGCACTCAGTTCCTCAATTCCACACCCTCCTGCCTATTTTCTAGTCCATTTCCTGCCTTACTTCAACTCACAGACTTTATCTCCATCCAATAGATGGAGTGGGGGTAAGGAGGGAAAAAAAGGGAAAATGGAGCCAATCTTTTCTCCCTCTATAATGACGAGTTTCCGTGTCTAGATGGTAAACTGAACACTTGTCACTACCTTTCCCGCCAAACCCAAGTCTCCCAGAAATGTTAGAAAACATGTTTAGAATGAATTTGTACAAAGCCTTGCTCCAAAACCGGAAGAAAACTCTCACTGGATCATAAACTGTGAGGAATCCCTGGAAGTTAGCAATTAGTTAAAATCAGATCAAGGAGTAAAACCAAAGCCTAATATGTACATGGGAAAATTCATTCACAGTCTGCCACATTCCAAATTTCATCTCCTTTTCTCCACCCCCAGCTAAATCTGCATCCCAGACCCTCCCTCCCTGAAGCCTTCTTTGTCTTAGAACTCAATTTTACTAGCCTGCACTGCTTCAGGTTTTTCTCAACCTTTTCTCATTATCACTCTCCTAAAGCAGCTTTTGAAGGCATTTTCTCCCTAATCATTCCCCCATAAAACTTTAATACCACAAATATACTGTGTATCTATTTATGTACTCTATGTACATCTGTGCTTTACATATCAAAAGACTAACAACTTCTTGCCCCTTCAGGGCAGTTTTTCCTGCCTTGGGAGTGATATTACCCCCCTTGAGAATGTACATTTACGTCCCAAGGATCAAGTAGCTTCTTCTAAGAAGGGGTGGGGGGTGTCTCCCTGTCTCCTCACAAGTCATACAAGGGGAATGACCAATATTTCTACTTCACCCAATCTTCATCCAATACTTCAGCCAATCTCTGGGTGAACAAATCATGTGAACAGAATCTTTTCTGTAAGTGGGTTAGGGAAAAGATTCAACAGGAGGAGAAACCAAGAGCCAAAACATGGTTTAGATACTTTGTCCTTGTTTTATTTTTCCTCCTAGTGTTCCCAGGGCATGCTTTGCAGAAATGACAACCTCTAAGAGATAGTCTATAGAATGGAGATGTCAGCACAGAAGAAATGCACTGTGGTAGGCAGACTCTGAGATGGTTCTCTTGGGGTCTGTGCCTTTGAGTAACTCCTTTTCCTTGAGTGTGGGTCAGACTTGCTGACTCACTTCTAATACACAGAATCTGGCAGAAGTGAGGCAGCCACTTCCAAAACTAGATTATAAAAAGACTGGCTTCCATCTTGGATTCATTTTCATTTTTTTTTGGAAAGAAAATTTTTTGCTGAATTTTTACTCCAAAACTTAACTAATAATGAAATGTTCATATTGGACAATTGTGCAATACAGACATGAGTTCTTCATAACAAATGCAATTAGAATTTAAGTATGATAGAAATATATATATAAAATTAAAATAGGATTTTCTGAAGTCTAATACAAACATGTGAAAAAGAACTACTCAAAACATAATAAGTATAGAGCTTAATAAGATAAAAACTGTGTAAACTCTTAGGTCAAGAACTAGAACACTGTCAGCATTACAGAAGTTCCAACAAATACATGTAATTATTATAGATATTATTAAATGCCTTGAAGAAAGAAAGTGAAGTATTGCAATTTCAAATGAGAGAAGCATCTGTGTTAGTGGGTAAAGGTAGGTACATATCACCTACTGTGAGGAGTGATGAACAAGGCAGGATGAGGAGCAGATAACACATTTGAGAAGGTGATATGTAGAGTGTCAAACAGATTTTCTAGAGTTGGACATTGATAGAAAAAAAGAGTACTACCTTCATTGAATTAGGAAAGAAGAGGGAGAACATGGACATGAGAAAGGATGGGTTTTACGTTTGTGGTGAAGCTTCTTATCTGATTATTCTTCTATAAGGCTAATTTAGTTTTTTGAATATGAATATATATATATATATATATATTTTAAAAATAGGAGAATATAAAGAAATGATAGTGCTAAAACAAGCCTCAGTAATGAGAAAGTCAGGCTTCTGTGGTGGCTCAGTGGTGAAGAATCCACCTGCCAATGCAGGAGATGCAGTTTCAACACCTGGAAAAGGAAATGACAACCCACTCCAGTATTCTTCCTTGGCAAATTTTGTCAAAAGAGGAGCCTGGGGTCACAAAAGAGTTGGGCATGACTCAACGACTAGACAAATGATAAATGATAAATGATATCAGCCTATAAGGACACCTAAAGAGTCACTGATTGCCCAGTGGAATTTAAGCACCATAGCTTAAAAATACAATCATCTGATCTAGTTGAAAAATTTCCCCCAAAGTTGTGAATTTCTTAAAGTATTAATAAACTTAAATAGAAGATAGCAGGTAGGATTCATCCAGGCTTAGCACTTTAACTCCAGTATAATGGACACAAATAATGATAAGAAAATTAAAGTTTTGCAAAAGACCATCAATAAATTGCAGAGGCAACCTATGGAACAGGAAAAGGTATTTCCAAATCATATGTCAGATAAGGGGTAAATATCCAAAATAGCCAAAGAACTCATACAACTCATAACAACAACAACAAAAAATCCATTTAAAATTCAGGATAGGAACTGAATTAACATTTTTCGAAAGAAAACACACAAATGGCCAATATGCACACTATAAGATTTTCAATATCACTAATCTTCAAGGAAATGCAAATCAAAACCACAATGAGATACCTCTTAGAATGGCTGTTATCAAAATGACGGAAGATAACAAGGGTTGACAAGACTGTGGAAGAAAGAAAACATTTTCGTATCACTGGTAGGAATATACTGGTGCAGTCACCACAGAAAACAGATGAGGATTCCTCAAAAATCTTAAAACAGGGGTTCCCTGGTAGCTCAGTGGTGAGGAATTCACCTGCCAATGCAGGAGACACCGGTTAGATTCCCGGTCTGTGAGGACCCCTCATGCTTGGGGGTAACTAAGTCTGTGCACCACAACTATTAAGCCTTTGCTGTGGAACCCGGGAGCTGCAACTTCTGAGCCCAGGCACCCTAGAGCCCGAGCTCCATGGCGACAGAAGCCACTGCAATGAGAAGTCCTTGAAGCACAACAAAAGTAGTCCCTTCCTCGCGGCAAATAGAGAAAATCCTCACAAAGGACCAGTGCAGCCATAAATAAGTAAAATTAAAAAAAAACACACACCAACTTTTAATATAGAATCACCATAGCATTAAGAAATCCCACCTCTGGGTATATAGTAGTCCCCTTATCTGTGGGAAATAAGTGCCAAGGCCCCCAATGGATGCCTGAAACCATGGATAGTACCAAGTCCTATATATATAATATTTTTTCCCATACAAGCACACCCGTAAGAAAATTTAATTTGTAAATGAGGCATCATAAGAAATTAACAATAAGCAGATATTCAGCATAAGCCATTATTTTTGCCCAAACTGTTTGGATACAAGAAGTCGTTCTCATCACAGAAGGGTGAAAACCATCTTGATGTCTAGGATCCCGGATATCAGCCAAGGCAAAGTCTGTAAACAGAGGTCTCGCACCGGGCACATCCGACGGAAGTTCCTATAGCAAAACGGCTGGTGGGCTGCACGGGAAGAATCGCGCATGACACGTCAATCCAAGATGGAGGCAGCGGGCCGAGAAGCTGCACTCGGCACTGAGAATCCGTTAGCCGCACGCACGCAGGCACGTGCGGAGAGAACCCCGCCCCCTCCTTGCCTTGGCATATATAAACCAGCCCCCACGACAGCCTTCAGCCCTGAAGAGCACGTGCTCTGGAATGTGAGCTGGTGTCTCTCCGTTCGTCTGTCAGAGAAGGACGCTTTCCTTTGCTTCTAAAGCTAACTCAGTCACATTCTGTCAGCTCAAAGGACACCGAGCAGAAGGACCGTTCATAAGGAAAGTCCTTGACTTAATAAGCAAAGGAAAAATGTATGCTGCGGTTCCTGAAGATCTCTGGTAAGAACGACTCTTGGTAAAATTGTGAAGAAGGAGAAATCCATGTTAGATTTTCTGTTGCACCATAAACTGGAGAAATTACAGACGCGGAAAAGCGTTTAGTTAACATAGAAAAGGCTTTAAATTTGTCCAGTAAGCTATTTTGAGAGAGACCATGTCCACATAACATTTATGACAGTGCACTGTTACAATTATTGGCTTTGTTTTCAGTCTCTGCACGACCTTTCCACTTCCTTCCTGTCCTAGGGGTAGGTCTTGTCTCCCTAGTCCTATCCAGGAGGTGGTGTCCCCAGGCTGATGCCTTGACTGCAGCCTTATGAGACACCCTGGGCCAGAACCACCCAGATAAACTGCTTCCAGATTCCTGACCCACAAGCATGTGAGATAATACAGGTTTGTTGTTTAAAGCCCCTTAAGATTTGGAATAATGTGTTATGAGCAATAGATACATAATACATTCATATTTTTCCCTGTGTTTCTTTCTTCCCTTCAAGATTATTCATTATTGTTTCTTGGCTAGTCTTCCTATTTTGTAGCAGAAGATGACTTTTTCTTCTTGAAAGATATTGGAGGTAGGTCTAAATGACCAAACCAAAAATGAATGCCAATGAGAATTTTGTTTTCCGTGACATTGGTATGAGAAGAGTCATAAATGTGATGGAACAAAGTGTGGCTGTTTCAAATAGAAAAAGTAACCATACTCAGTTGTCCCTTTTTAGTTGTTTTTTTTAAGCTTGACACTATAAAAAGACTTTATGAATTCCATCCCTAACAATTCAAATTTTGTGTTTATTTAGATGAAATCTGGGGAGCTTATTATCTTTGTGAGATTTCATATATATGGCACAGAGTATATATAATACTATATATATATATTGCTTTGCCTTAATATGTATGTGTATCGTAGGACCACTACTACTTGCTATACTTGAAAGCAGTCTCTATATTCTTCTTGTAGACGTATCAATATTCTCTCCCTCTTGCCTCTCATGCTCAGATGGAGGATTGCAAATTTTCAGTCATACGGGTTTATTACCATTGTCTTCCAACCCTTCAGTACCTGTCTGTGTTGAAATAATAGCTTAAGAAAGTTGATATCAGTAAATTGGTTTTTATGTCTCTATGTAGTACAGTGTATATGCATATATACATATGGGCTTCCCAAGTGGCTTAGTAGTAAAGAATCTGCCTGCAGTGCAGGATATAGAGGTTCAGTCCCTGGGTCAGGAAGATCCCCTGGAGAAGGAAATGCAACCCACTCCAGTATTTTTGCTCGGGAAATCCCAAGGACAGAGGAGCCCAGGTGGGCTCTAGTCCATGGGGTCACAGAGTCAGACATGACTTACTGATTGAGCATTTATACATGCATCTATATATAGAATACAGTATAAAAAGATTGTAAGGGTGAAGGAAATCTTTACTGGCTTCCACAAATGACTTTTTCCCTCAAAGTATAACAGCACCTTGACCTATAAATATACATAAAGTGAAAGTGAAGTTGCTCAGTCCTGTCTGACTCTTTGAGACTCCATAGCCTGCCAGGCTTCTAGTCCATGGAATTGTCCAGGCAAGGATACTGGAGTGGGTTGCCATTTCCTTCTCCAGATGATCTTCCTGACCCAGGGATTGAACCGGGGTCTCCTGCACTACAGGCAGACTCTTGACTCAGCCACCAGGGAAGTCCATAAATATATGTAAAACTATATTCAAATAGCCTTCATCTGGTCATCAAAATAGGTCCAATGAGATCTCCCCATGGTTCTGTCTTTGCCCAGTTCATATTTTATAATCTTATGTTTTTCATACTCCAGTTTGATTCATTCATCCATCAGATATCAAAAGGTAATAAGATATACTTTCTTATAACTTATACTTTAATTAAGATTTTTATTAATTCAGAATTGCCTGTCCCTTCAGTAACTCTAAATTGGTGAGTTTTTCTTTGAGGCATTTTTAATATCTGTTCTGATCTTGAATCTGGTGGTATTGTATTACTTTGATGGGTTAAGAACTTACTTCATTTTTAAAATAGCAGTCAGAATTTTTCTCTGATGAACAAAGAAACAGGTAAAAACTTTTTTTCAGAGACTTTAGCAGATTGACTCATTTTCATAAAATATTTTGCATAACAAAAGTATAAAAGATGTCTTGTTTGTAAGCTGATTGAATGAATTAATATGGCTTAAGTACTCAGAGTGTTAATGATGATATCTACCGTGTCTCATGTCATCTGGAGGCAGTAAACACATCTAATGTTAGGTGGGGGGGTGCCAGCTATAAATGTGAGTTATAACGTGTGAAAGTGAACATCTTCACCTATGACCTGCAGCTACAGAGTGCCAGGGGACCACAAATTTTGGAATTTTGCAAACCTTGGTCTGAAATCTGGCTTTACCTCTTATTTGCACATTAATCTAAACCTTCTTGTCTTCAGTTTTCTCATCTTCAAAATAGAAAGAAACAATACTCTCTCTTCATATTGTTGTTTGTAATATTTAAATATGGTTAAGGAGCTAGTGCTTGATTTTTAACCAGGGGTCTGTAAATACATGACAAATAACCAGGTCATTATGTGAATGGTGAACCTCAACTCTTTCTCACAGAGAGATGACCTATTAATTATCAAAACACAATTGAAGAAATGAGCTCTTCTATTTCTGCTCCTCTCTTCAGTGCTATCTTTTGGAATTTCCCTTGTTGTAGATCAAAAGTGGTCAAATATTGGTTCATAGTGTCCAATCTAATGGCAGTTTTATATTCAGAAAATTATATTCTGCTTAATCATACAAACCATGAAAAATCTCAAGGATAAAAATGAGTTGCAAATCCTGCAGGGATCTCTTAAGTTTCTCTCTGCACTTTACTCACTGCACTTACTACAAGACATCATGAATTTCTATGAACTCCTTAAGGGAAGATACTACCTTATTAAACATTGTTTCCTCAGAGCCTGCATTTGCATAGGAAAAACAGTATCTGGTTGAGGTTTAGCACATGCCTGCCAATGCAGGAGACTTGGAATCAGTTCCTGGGTTGGGAAGATTCCCCTGGAGGAGGAAATGGCAACCTACTCCAGTACTCTTGCCTGGGAAATCCCACGGACAGCGGAGCCTGGTGGACTAAAGTTCAAGGTGCTGCAAAGTGTCGGAGAGGACTTAGCAACTGAACAACAAAAACATGTTCTGAATCCAGGCTGCCTGAGTTGGAAGCCTGGTTCAGCCACCTACCTGCTGTGCGATCTCTGAGTGCCTTAAAAATGCTGTGTCTCATGTGTGCAGTCTGCTTCCTGGATCCTTCCTTGCTTATAACTTCCTTACAATTCAAAGATTTTTTAAAAGTGAGAAACAGAAAGCATTTGGAGTAGCACATTGGATACATTGTAAGTCTTCAGTTAATAACCGTGTATTTATTGCAAAATGCTGTATTAGTTTGTCTTCAGATAGGTCAGCCCTGCCATCTCTTTTTTCTGGTTCTTTACACTGTTTTTCCCTCTTAAATGTTTCATCAGCTTTATTAATCTTTGTGTTTGTTTATTTAGCCTAGGATCTAACACTGATTCTCAAATCTAACCATATGCTCTAGGCTCATCTGAGGGAGTCAGTCAGAAAATCCCAGACATACTTCCCAGTGATTCTGTGATTAGAGACCTGCAGCTTTAAGTTTACTAGGCAATTGATTACTAGGCAATTGATTCAAAAGAGGTGTCCCATGAACTGGGCCAGCATTTGGAAACACTGCCCTAGGATTTCTATCCAATTTTAATTTGACTCCTTTATTTCCTAACTCCATTTCTTAAGAGAGCATCTCATATACACAATTTCCCCTTCAATTGAAGTCTGTTTAAAGCAAACATCTAAATGCCATTTCATTCTCCTTTTTGCACGATGCCCTTTTCTCTCCTCATTCTGTCCCCTTCACCAGCAGTTAGCATCTGACCCCATCCTTGTTCACCAAAAGAGCTGGCCATTTGTAGTCAATGGATGAGCAGCTGACGGCTCCTTTTAGGGGAGTAAAATTGCAAATAAGGGTGATAAATAAAACCGTTCTCTAAAAGAACCAGTCTCTTTGGCACATTCTGTGCTTTCCTCTATCAGAGGCAGGGAAGACTGAGGCTTATTCATACGGGAATGAATCAGTGGTCAAAGAATCACTCCAGAGAGTCAGAAGCTAATTCTTTTTTTGTCAAGTGGGGAATGCTTCTCCCTATTTCATATTTGTTTATGAATGTCACAGCATGGATTCTGAAAACACCATCCCTGGAGAGAGCAGACCTATAATTCTGGCAGAATTTGATTACTCAATCATCTAAATTCAGGATAAATTTTAGATAGAAAGAAGATAGCAGAAAACCAATCCTTATAACACACCTGTGAGACCCTTTGAATAGTGCTTTGTGAATGAATTGCCCTTTATCGCTCCCCCCCCCCCCCCCCCCCCCNGATAACTGGCACTAACACAGCTGTTCACAGCTGCACACAAGATGCTTGCAAGAGCACAATGTCAACCATTTGTTCTCATGGGGTGCAGCTTAATTTATTTCCTTTGAGGATGGAGTCTGATATTGTGTTCTCGCAAGACTAATCAGCAGATCTAAAAGACATGCAGTGGTCAGATTTAAGGGATGAGTTGCATTTCCAAGTATGATTCTTCTTTTGGATATCTACTCCTGCCCCTTGAAACATATCCAGTGGAGAACCCATTTTGAGGGTGAGTTTGTTTTTGATAGACCTTAAGCAGGAAGTGAATTGAGGTGGAACAAATGTTCTCATTATTTCAGAGAGAACCATAGGCACACTCCACTTCTTAGCAGGGTCAGCTGATGCCAGAATGCTCTCGGCAAGCCAATTCATAGCAATGTGACAAAGGAAATTTATTGAGCACCTACTGTATGCCTAGCAAATGTGTAGGGCTGAAAAAGGCAATAAAAAGTTTTCATCTCATTACAATGTAAGTTGCATGACTTGTTCCTGAATGCCTTTGACATCCCTGGCACAGTTTAG